GTATGACCTCTGAAACGTTGGTTAACATCGACCAGACTACACAGCGCAACAACCCAGAAGACGGAAATCTTCATACTCTGATGACGGAGGCTGTATGACCTCTGAAACGTTGGTTAACATCGACCAGACTACACGGCGGAACAACCGAGAAGACGGAAATCTTCATACTCACCGCTGTGAGATCCTCAAGTCTTAAATTTTTGTGTTTGCATTGATGAGGTTAGGACATGTTAATGACCGCTGTCGAGAATTGTTCCTGTTCTATTAGTTTACGTAGATCCACGTGACTGCTGTGCACGTGTTAGTATTGTCAAATACATAAGTGCTGTAACACAGCAAATAGAATACTTTCTAAAGAGACAGAATAAATGTAGACTATTGTGTGTCTAGGATAACAGCGGATTGATTATTGTATTCAAGGAACCAGCGATAGTGGATTCGATTATAAGCCAGATGAACCCAACCCTTATAGTCACACTGTATTTGTTTAATGTATGTTTTAGTAATGTCCTCTCAAGTACTCGAGGTTTTCCAAATGAAGTGTATTTGTCGTCTGTCCCATGCTTTGCTGGACTAACTGTTCTTCATGCAATCAGCGTAATAAAAAATGAGCGTACGAATGAATAAAGTCCTCTTTGTGCAAATTTCCTTATCGCGTTTGTGTTTGAATGACGAAATATCACAAAGTGCCTTGAACTTTCAGCGGATTATTGGCACAAACTAAGCAGGGTTTTAAAATTATGGCCAAATAAAGAGAACCACGAGATGGTTGGGACATGTAGCACGCATGCAGAGAGCGTTACGCAAATAAAGAAACTGTGGCTTATATTTACCACTGACATTCAAATTTTTTGAATTCTTCCAAAAATGATTGTCATAGAGCTGTTAAATAAAAGTTTGTAATATGCTTTACTTATAGTCTGTTACTGATATTAATTTTCTTCATTGGATTGTTCCATGGCGTAATGGTATTTGCAGTTTTTAGGACTCAGGTAAAGCTATTCTAGGCCTAGAGGCGATTAGTTTTGATTTCATTTCAGAAACAATGTTTTTGGATGCCAACTTCCCCCAAAAACATTCACTCCAATATGTAAAAATGAATCTAGAAGTGAACATCACCAAAAAGTTGCATATCAGAAATTGTAATTAGGTTTTAAGTTTATAATTTTAACTTTTACACCTGAAGATGGTTTATATAGAAACCGAAACATGTTGTAAAAAGATGTTCCAAATGTAAAATCGATTGTTCGATGAGGAACATCAAATGATGTTTTAATTATCTTAATTGTAAATTTTAAATTTTAAATTTGAATTGTGATTAGACGGACCAAATCCGAATAATTAATATATGGTATCACAAAATGACGCAACTATATCATCTTCCTTCAGGAAAGTTTTCTAGGTCACAAATAACAGATAGACGGTGGAAAAAAACTTCGAATTTGTTGCGCGTTATATTTGCTCGGTTGTTCTAGATAAAAGCGTAATTATAAAAATGCTACAATAAAATACATTTCTTCCGTTATAAACAATCATACAGTAAGACGCCCCTCTCTTCGACAAAACTGTGCCATCTCTTCTACGGGAAAGAATAGGACACGGTTTTTTTCTGAGTAAGAAATACCTTTCATTTCTTTAATTACTTTACATTTATTTGCAGGAGCTTTTGAAGTCTAGAACAAAACATTAATTTTAACGTATTTTGAGTCCAATCCTTAAATGTGTCTGTGAAACAATCTTTTGTTCATTCACATACAAATGCACATGATTCACTGTTTCACGCACATTTCACACATCGTGGTGTTCGGATGCTGTCTGGCGGCTGGGGTCAAACTAGAAACACAATTTATTAGCTACTGCTGTTGTTGGCAACACTGGTAAAAGTGCTCCCGGCTTGGCTACCGAGAGTTCTCAGTCCGTGCAGATGTACCAACCCTGGTCCACATTTCTCGAGCTGCTGGTGTTGACTTCTAACAGCGAAACGATTCACGTGGACGGGAATGGGGACCACGATCTTGGTAGCACTGTGCCCACTGGAGGGGCCCCCTTGACCACGTGCTCCACCGCCACCGGAAGTAAGACCCGCCTTCACCCGTTTCCATTTCGCCCTCCGGTTCTGAAACCATATTTTAACCTGTAACAAGAAAGGACCTGTCACAACATTTTACCACACGGGCTGTATTTTCTAATTTACTTATGTCATTTATTACGCAGTCGCAATATTCAATATCGGTATACTCTACGAATGTTTTCTTAACAGTTAGTAGAACGCGACCTTGACGCGACGGACAAACAGTGTGGCAACTCTCAACGTTTCTTGCGCGTATAATAAGTAGATACTTTAAAATTGACGTCACCTCACAGACTGCCACGGACTAAGCCTACTGTTATCAATCAGATCGCTTCAGTAACTTTAATCCTCTCTAAAACTTTCAGAGCCAACGTGCTGCCATATTAATTTGAAGGAATGAACGTGAATGAGTCTGATCGGGTTGAAGACTTGTTAATAACTGGCCGTTTGTTACGTGCTGTTAACACAGTGGACTGGGAGAGAGAGAATGACATTTTAACTAATACTTGTTCTTGTTAAAGGATTAAATATTTAGTATAAAGTTGGGAGAACGTGTTTGAAATTATGATTTCGGTAAAAAGTGAAAAACAGTAGTCAAGTTGGATTAATGTATACCATTACAAGAATAAAGTTGGTAAATAATAGGTATACTTAGTCGTAATAACTGAGTTGTAACATATATTTCCACTACATGTTTTGCCTCAAGCTAACAATTATCAGATGGACACGTACAGACTGTCCGCATGATTATTCGCTTGAACTGAAAATAACTAACTAACTAGAAGGCTTAGGGAAACCGATGGTTCATCCCCAAACTAACCAAAGTTATTCTCCGGTTCCTGTCCTGGGCCAGTAAAATCCAATCGCCTTCAAATCGTATTGAACTGAAAATAACTGTTAATAAATATATCAAGTATTAAGTGTTATTTGTCTAATTAATTTGTATGATGGTATATATTAATCCAACGTGGTTGTATGTTGCACAGACAGGATGTATTCTATAAATACTACGGAAAATATTCCTAATTTATTTCCAATGCGTAAAAATAAAAATAAAAACATAACCAGGGCTATTAATCATCTATGCGGCACCGAATGTCGCGGTAAAGTGCTTTCGTTTTCGGGAGGTCAGAGTTCAGATCTCGACCCAGACATCGCATATTCTGACCGAGGTTCTTCGTGGTATTTCTTAGACCATTCAGTGTCGTTCCCAGAATTGGATCAACCCAGGGAAGCACGCGAAGACAAGTTATCTAAGTTCTACAGAAATGCATGAAAGTCTATTATATTAAAACGGACCTCAAACGAGCAGTAAGGTCTATGTGCTACGTCCAACTGGCTTATTGTATGCTCCGATGGTGACACTAGTGAATACGATAATGGATATTATAGTTGCATAACAGGCGGGAATTTTGTTGAATAACTACGAGATTTTTTTTTTTTAGTGTTCTGTCTGACGACAGGTCCGTATGAACAGGATCCTTCCATCCTTTTCTCGGACTGGGATCTGTTCATATACGTTCTTGGCAGATGATCCAGAAGTGGTTTGCCATTGCCTTCTTCTGTGTGTGAATGGAGTAATTGTTGGGATGCCACGGAGGAAAACTCCGTGTTGCCTAGACCACGGCCTTGCCCAACACAAGTTATAAATTCTGGCACCGCCGGGAATCGAACCCGAGACCCCAGGATTACAAGGCCAGCGTTCTGACCGCTAGACCACCGTGGCGGTCTGTTCTGCAACCGCATTACATGAAATAAACGTCGTTAGAGAAATCGCTATTTCAGAAGTGCCTGCCGCCGCTATTATCGGGGCGATCGCCCTACGTACGCGGCCCCAGCAGCCCACAAGACAGCCAGGCGTCTTCACTGCGTCTCTGAGCGTTTCTCCCACGGACCCACACTTCGCGCTCACCTGAACTTCGCTCAGTTTGAGGGCTGCCGCAATCTGAGAGCGCTCCGTGAGGCTCAGGTATTTCTTGGCGTGGAATTCCCTCTCCAGTTCCAGCAGTTGTTCACTGGTGAAGGCAGTTCTGCGTCTCCGAGTCTTGTTGCTGCCGCCATTACCGACCGAGCTGCCGGCATTGTTGGGGGATTGTTGCGACCCGTCGCCATGATGGGAAGTGCCCGCGTCGTCAGAGACGGCTCCGGGACTGGAAGGTTCGCAATCCGGACTTTCAGACCGGCTGCACTCTCCACCTGGACAAATACGAAAATCTGCGTGAAATTCGCCATCAAGAGCCGAGATGTGTCTCGAATCCGAAGATTATTTGCTGCATTTGATATAAGAGTTTGTATAGACGATCTCGGCTGATATCTGAAACGTCGGTCAACATCTACCAGACTACACGTGGCAACAACCCAGAAGACAGTCACCTACTTACTTAGCCTTCCGCTAACTCAACTCAACTTAACTCATTTATGCGCGCGCACAATCCGTAAATTTCTGTTTAACTCATTTCCTAATTCGATTTGCCACATAAGTGCGAATTAATGACTGCAGATAAAACGTTCTTCTTGATTTTTAGGTTTTTTTTTAATAATATTGAGATATAAAATCTGACCTGTACTATAGTTGAAACGATTTACTGTAACATAATAGCAGTAATTGCTGAACCAGTAATCGAAACCTCGCCCGCAGACCGCATGACATGTAGCCGTAAGAAGAAAATTGCTTGTAACCACAATCCTTCACTCCAGGACGTGAGGACAAGCAGCTTCTTGCTTCTGTGCTCAGGGAACAAACTTTACAAACTAAAAGGACCTGTCATGTAACTGTAAACTGGAAAAAAATAACAGCCCGTGGCTGAAGGCAGATTTGTTGCTGATAGAAAATTAAAAGACAGTAGAAAAATACACATAGTTAATACATGAGAATGTAAAGTAATATCTAATAAAATTAATATGAAATATAATAGTATGTAAGCCTCTAATACATATTAATCTATTTGTTATAATCGATAAAAATCTACTGTGGAAATAGAGTCTAATAAACATAAAATATGTTTTTATAAATTATAAAACTAGGGAGTAGATAAGGATATAATTTTCTGTAAACAGG